CTGATTTGCAAGTCGAAGAAAGAGAAATGGGTCAGATTTAAGGGGTTATAAGCTAATTTCTTCAAGCTACCCGAGGGAATTGAATTATGAAGGAGACCCAGTTTTCTGTTATTGTAATATGAAAGCAGCAAGATGGACTTCCTGAACAGATGATAATCCTGGAAGAAGATTCTATGGTTGCAAGTATTATAAGGTAATATTGTTTTTTTTGGTATTTAGAAGCTAATATTTCTACTGTGTTTTTGGCTTTCTAGGATGAACGTTACTGTATGTTTTATGACTGGCATGATCCCAAATTTCCTGTTCGAGCAAGAGAGATAATATTGGAGCTGAAGAAAAGAGAATATTTCTTGTTTAATCAAGCAAGGGTTTTGAAGCAAAAAGTGACAGAGTTGAGGGAAAATGCTATTCAGAATTTGGAGGCTGATATTGTTGAAGAAAATTTCAGGCTAAAAGAGGAGATTTCTAATTTGAAGAAGCTGGCAGCAAGGGAAAATGGAAAATGGTGGAGATTTTTATGTTTTTGTTTAGTTGGATTAGTGATTTTGCTTGTTGGAGTGAAAGCAACATTTGAGAAAGAAAATATTAAGATGCAAGCATTACCTTAAGTAATGCTTGGTTATGTGTATGTTTAGGCTTTATGAAATGAAAATTTTAATTTCAATCACATGTGTTTTGATCCAGAATACCTGATAAACTGATATAAACAAAAATTCCAGGGTTAAAATTCATTGCCATCATATCATTGACAACTTAAAATATCATACATTAAAGTTCTAAACATAGTTAAGTTTAGGGTAAATCAGACCCATAATAGGCTCAAAAAGCCTTCAGTTATCTATAATTCCTACAGTTGATAAATGTCAAGGGTATACAAACCCTATAATCAACATCCTCAAAAATACATCCCAAAAACATATCAATAGACAACCCTGTCAATTTTGTTGTTTGTTCTTGCCTTTGGAACTTGCAGATGCAGTTGTCACACTTTCCTGAGTACCCTGCAGAGGCACATTGTCTCCACTAGCTGCTGGTTGCAGTCCCTATACACAAAATAAGTACACAAAACTCAGTCAAATTATTGCACCATTTTTGCAGCTTTTAACAAAGTAGATTACATACACTTGCAACCTACCTCAGACTTTTTTTAGAGCTTCCAATCTTGCTCTGAACTTCTTTTGGGCAGCACGCTGGAGAAAAGTGGCAGTGATTCGTCTCTGATTTGCATATTTTGCTTGAGAAAGCCGGACTTGACCTTTCACCCAGACACATTCTAACACTCTGCCATTGTTATCAGTCACTGTAGAATCCCGTTTTCTTCCTAGGTCCAGCATCAGGGTTTGCTTTTTCTTCTTACTTTGACCACTCTTAGCTTTAGAAGATGAATTAACAGTGGTAGGATCTGTACCAGATTGTTGACTAGGCAAGATAACAGAGGCAGAAGCTTCTGCATCTCCACATCCACTTGAAGCAGCTTGAGAATTGGCATTAGCATTCAGATCTGGGATCTGAACAGAGACCGAAGCTTGTGAAGATGAATGTGCTTTTTTCTTGGTTTTTGCAGGGTTTTGGGGAGGAGAACTGCAGTTAACTTCTTCATGACTGGGTGTTGTTGAGTTCTAGGCAGTGGGTTGTTCCATATCAGAAACTCCAGAAAGATTTGAGGGAGGAGGAGGCTGGGTTTGCTAGCAGTTTAGAAGAAAGTGAAAAAAAGTCATTACAAGTCAGTGGAGGCATTTATAATAATGAATATAACATTGATAATAGTTAGTGACAGAAAAAGACAAAGAAGTTGAGAAATTACCTCAGTAGCCCTTAAGGGACAACTTCTAATGTTGTGTCCCTTTTTTCTACAGAGCCCACAAGTCATAACCATGCCCTTCCTTGACATGCTTGTGGAATCTTGCTGATTGGGCTGTGTGGGCTTTGCAGGCTCATTTTTGCTCTTCTTTCTAGCACCTTTAGGTCGACCAGGTCCCTTTTTTGTCAAAATGGGGAGGCTTCACTGGTGGAAGGTCAGAAGTAGGCCAATCCTTCAGGCCAGGCATTGACTGAATAGGGTTTGAGTATGATTGCATGTACACCTCCTTTGAGTACCAAGATGACACAAACTCAGCTACATTTCCCCTTCTCTCTCTGATTGCACAAATTGCATGTGCACAGGGGACCCCAGATAATTTGTATATTCTACAGGTACAGGTCTTCTCCTCAAGCCTCACCACATATCTTGATTCCCCATGCTCAACTTCATATCCATCAGCACCATTGAATATTACACGACAGTATTGGGCAATCTTGGCACTCTTCTCAATGCTTTGCCAAATCCTTGGACCAAGCCCATCTCTCCACCTACTAAGTTCATTGTTCTTCTTCACTATCCTCTTCATCATTTCCCTCCTCATCATCTCAAACAAGGAGATGACCGGCATTTTCCTAGCCTTCAGCAGTGTCTTGTTAAAAGCCTCGCAGAGGTTGTTGTCTGCTACCTCCACCATTGATTCAAGTCTGAAAAATGTTCTACAAAACTTGGCTGGTGGAGTATAAGCTTCAAAATCAGTAGCTGCTTGTGAACTCTTTTGCTTTAGCTTATCCAGAATCTCGTAATACTCCCTCAAAGTGGGTGCCTTCACAAGTCTCCAGAAAAAGTCATTCATTTCATCTCCCCTATGCCCTCTACCTTGCCAGTTAACCCAAACATGCCGAGCACAAAATCTGTGCTCAGCTTGTGGGACATTATCTTCAATAGATCTCTGTATGGCCTGCATCATAAAATAGGATTCAGATTACTAAGATTTAGAAATAAAAACTAGGAATACACATATAAACTACACAATTAATTACTTACCTTATGTTGATCACTCATGAAGGTGAAGCCAAATCTATCTCCTATCCCAAGATCTTCTTGCAAACACTCTATAAACCAGCTCCATGTTAGAGTTGTCTCATCCTCCACCAATGCCCATGCAACTGGAAACATTTGATTGTTACCATCTCTGCCTACAGCGCATAGCAGTTGGCCTTTGGTCAATGTTTTTAAGAAGCACCCATCTATACCAAGAAATTTTCTGCAACCATGTAGAAACCTTCCTTAAGTGCCCCAAGGCATATATACATTCTTTCAAAAACTGGTGGGCCATCCGGATCTGCCCTAAATGTGTCCATCTTTACAGTACTCCCTGGATTGCTCAGTAAAATCATATCCTTATAACTCCACAACTTTGCAAACTCTTCCTCATAATTTACCACATAACTTTCAACAATCATCTCTTTGCTCTTTTAACCAACTCAAAGAAACTTCATGCCCCAAATCTGCCAACACAAGTGCCTTGATCTCATCATAATTCATAAAAGGCAGAGCCATTAGCTTCTTCATCAGAAGCTATGTCAGGATCTCTGTGCTTAACCTGGGATGACCCTGATACACATTCTGGCAATCATGATGATTGTCGAATTTCCTCACTTGGAATGTGTCTATAGCATTATTAATTGCTCCATATATCATCCATGGGCAGTTTTCATTTCCACATATCCCCCTGACCCATTTTTTTGTGTTTTTCTTCCATATTATCGGCTTGTGCTCCTTGATAGCTAATAGACTGACAGCTAGCTTAAACTCATCTGAGTTCTTGAACAGCATGCTCTTGTAGATATAAGGAACATCAGCAGTGGAATCAAACCGAGGAAATCTACCTCTCATTGTTGTAGCCTCATTGACAATCAGTTCCTCATCACTCTCTATCTCTAAAGGGTCATCTGAGTCATCATATTCACTGTCAATATGAAACTCAGATATGCCCTCACCATCAGATTCCAGATCATTCTCACCATTTTCACCAGCAGCTGGGCCTTCATCCTCACCATCTTCATCATGTAAACCCTCCAAATTAACCTCATCCACCTCAACTTCCCCTACATCATCATTAATGTCACCATTATCTTCAACGTGCACATCCTGCAAATTAACACCAACATCTTCAACAGGATCACCCAAGTTGACAACAGGAGGATCACCTAAGTTTACAACAGGAGGATCAGCCAAGTTTTCCCCATTTTCTAGTAAACCAGCAATTTCAGGCACAACCTCTACTCCATGTTCAACATAGACATCTATTACACCATCATTCAAAAACAATTCACCAGTCATGTCTATTATGGAGGCATCATTAATAATGGGTTTCAATCCATCACATAGCAAAAACCCAGGCCTCTGATAAAACATTCTGACAATATTTTTGTACCCAGCCCTCTGACATAATTGTTCAAACTCATTTTTGCTAATCTTGTCAGGATCAAACACCAAATCATCTACATAACCTCCTACATACTGCAACTCCTCATCAACACCAGAAAAACGACCCTCATAATGAAATCTAACAATTGCAGTGTCAAAAGCCATTTTCACCTATTAAAAGACCACAGAATAGAACTATATTACATGTTCGAACAGAAGACATTTTTAAGAATTTAACAGTATCTGGGGAAGACAAACAACAAACATGCTAATATTGTATCAATTCATCACAAACATCATACTTATCTATTTAAACCTACAAATTCTTAGAAATTTTAAAGGAAGAATGAACAGAATATCGAAATTCAGAACCCTATCATTTTACCCATTTTCATTTCAAACATGCTAATGTTGCAATTAAACACAAAACCCCAACAACCGTATAAATTTTAAAAGAAGAATGAACAGAATATCGAACTACCCTAGAATTTTACCTATTTTAATTTCAAACAAAGAAATGTTGCATTTAAACACAAACCCCAACAAATAACTAAATAAAGCGACTTACCTGAAGAAAAACCCCAAATCTGGGTTTGATTTCGACGAACCCTAGCTCGACCAGTAAAATCCCAAATTCGCCCAGAAAATTCTCAAATCTATGCGAACTAACACTTACGCGAGTGATTACCACTATTTCAACCAAATCGACACTCAGATTTTGTTAAACAAACTAAAACTTTCAGATTTTCAAGCCATTTTCGAAGAGAGAGAATAAGGTAAGATTTTCGACTTTTTAGGGGATTTTTTTTAACTTCTGAAAGGGTTTCTTTTTTAACCCTTTTAATTCGAAATTTCCGTTTGCTAATTTTTTAAAATTGTAATTTGCGATTTTTTAATAATTTAATTGCCACGTGGCTAATTTTTTATCAGACAATTGACTCCATATGTGCTCATTCGCGCGTGTCTCTCACGCCTAACGGAAAACCCGAAAAAGTACTTAATTGGACGATATTTTAAACGTTTGGTATCTAATAATCCGAAATTATAGGTTTGGTACCATGTTGGTATTTTCCTAAAAGTTTTGGTACCAAATTGGGATTTTAGCCACACTTTCTAGCATGATTTAACGCGTCTGTCTCCATAGTTGGCCAATAGTATCCCAAATCCAGCAACTTCTTGTACAATCTGAGTCCTTCATTCTCTCCACTCACTCCTCCATGCACATCTTCCAACAATGCAGTCATGTCAGCAGGTGATACACATTTAAGAGGTTTCCCTGCAAATGAGGTTCGAAACAGCTCATTCCCTTTGAGGAAGAAACGTTCTGCTCGTCTTTTTATCCTTCTTGCATCTTGATAATTTGTTAGCAATACTCCATTCTGAAGGAAATCAATATACGGTCGACGACAATCTCCTACACTTCCAACAAAATGACACTCGTGAACATTAGGGGGTTCAGAACATTTAGCACATAGGCTTTCCATATGGGTAGCGTCTTTCATCATGGTTGGCCAATAATAGCCTGCTCTTTGCAATCTTCTATACAAGGGTGGCCCTTCCTGTCCACACCATTGTCGATGTGCTGCTTTCAACCTGCAATCTGCTTCTTTGCTAGACACGCACCTTGCCAACACTTCGTTTGCTCCTCTATAATATAGAGTGCCGTGAATCAGGACATATTTTTTAAGAGAAGGGAGCAAATTGGAAGTTGGATCACCAAGCTGTTGGATGATAGGGTCACGCCAATCTTGCTCCTCCTCGCCTTTGGGAGTCTCCATCCATAATGCATGTGGTGAAGGAATCGACCATCGTTTCACTGTTAACGGTATTGTTTGCTCTCCATCCGGCATATTAATCTTGGAAGCTAGAGTAGCTAAGGCGTCTGCATATCTATTGGAAGATCTAGGACTATGCTCGCATCTCACCGACTGGAACTTGTCTAGGAAGGAGCGTACCAAATCTCTATATGGCGCTAACGTTGGTTCCTTCAATGAAAATTCACCATTCGTTTGTTTCACCACCAAGTTGGAATCCCCAATAATACACAACTCCTCTACGCCAATAATTCTTGCGGTATGTAATCCCAGCACCAAAGCCTCATATTCAGCTTGGTTATTGGTGCAAGGAAAATCCAATTTAAACGCCAAAGACAAAGCTTCTTCATGTTCACACCGTGCCTCTGGCGGAACTAAAACAATTCCTGCGCCACTTCCGCTAGTGGTGGAAGATCCATCAAAGAATAGTTGTCATTCTCCACAAGATGGCTCTATATGACAAACTTCCGCATGTGCTTCTCCTGGTAAATCATCTGGCAAAATTTCTTCATGGAGTGATTTCGAGGGAAAGTACGCCAACAAATCGGATAATGCTTGGGATTTCACTGCCTTGGGCTGCATGACAGAAATATCAAATTCCCCTAGCATAAAGTACCACCTTGATGCTCGTCCTGCCATGACTGGTTTAGATAGTAAGTATTTGATTGGATCAGACCTAGTAACCACTATGAGCTTATGCGCAAGCAAGTAATGACGGAACTTCCGTGTAACTTCAACAAGTGACAAAAATGCTTCTCCATCGGCGAGTAATTTAACTCACTACCGTGCAAGCATCTACTTATATAGTAAACAAGTTTTTCCACACCTTGCACTTCCTGCACTACAATCCTCCTATCGATTCGTTAGTGGAAGTCAAATACAACATCATCGGTTGTCCTTTGATGGGAGGTGTCATGGTAGCTGGAGCAGTTAAAATATCCTTCACTTTTTTAAAGGCTTTCTGTTGCAAATCTCCCCATGTGAAAGTAATTCCTTTTTTTAGCAAACTTTGAAATGGGACCATGATTTCCCCAAGTGCTGGGATGAAACGTCTAATATATGACATTTTTCCCAATATGCTCTTCAATTGTTTCCAACATATAGGAGGCGTCATCTCCTTTATTGCTTTCCCTTTGCTGGATCGACATCCACACCCTTTCGATGGACTACAAACCCAAGGAATTTGCCTGACGTTACTCCAAAAGCACACTTCAAAGGGTTCATGCGAAGATTGTATTTTCTACAACGTTCAAACACCTTTCTTAAGTCAGTGAGGTGATCGGCTGCTTTCTTTGACTTCACCACAATGTCGTCTACGTAATCTTCCACGCATTCATGCAACATGTCATGGAAAATGGCAGTCATAGCCCGTTGATAGGTGGCACCTGCATTTTTCAATCCAAAAGGCACTACAGTATAATAAAAATTACCAATAGGTGTTCGAAATGCCGTTTTCTCTGCATCCTCTTGCGCCATTTTAATTTGATTGTACCCACTGAATCCGTCCATGAAAGAAAACATCTCATGTCCTGCTGTAGCATCCACCAAAGTATCAATATTCGGCAATGGGAAATCATCCTTCGGGCATGCTTTATTGAGATCTCTGAAGTCAACACAAACCCTTATCGCTCCATTTTCTTTTTCACTGGAATTACATTTGCTAACCATGTAGGATGGTGAATAGGCTTGATGAATCTACACGAAGCAACTTTTCAATTTCTTCCTTTATCTTCGTCTCTATCTCTGGCTGAAACAAACGTGCTGATTGTTTTACTAGCCTACTTCCAGGGGCTATATGCAACTCATGCGTTACCAAGTTGGTATCTAAACCTGGCATCTGCTCATAAGACCATGCAAACACATCCTCAAACTCCTTCAATAATTCTATCAACACACTTTTCTGCTCTGCAGAGAGATTCTTACTCAGAAATAAAGGTTTAGGCGTCCCTCCCTCGTCAGCTATGTTCAATTCTTCCAACTCCTCTTCTTGTGGTTTCGGCTTGTCCTGGAAAGTTTCTGGAGCGGGAGCTATTTCTTCCGACAGCTCAACACTGAAACAAAATGAACTTTCTTTCTCTCCTTTAGGAGGCTTTTTCACGGGGTGGAGGAGAGAAACGTCCTCACACCCCGCGTCCCTTCATAAACAATATACTATCCTTCCATCAGCTCTGGTATAGGAAGTAACGTCAGCACCCCTGCTTCCTCCAGTAGCATTTCCACATCTCATTTTATTGCCTTTCTTTGTGCGTTTGACATTGCAATGGGAGATTCCATCATAATTGCTCCATGGCGGTAATGATACTCCAATGGGTCTTCCAAGTGCTCCTTCGCCATCATCAGCCAATTCATCAAAGAACGAAGCTTCGGCGTACCTCACTTCATTTTGCTCAAATGGAGCCTTAGTTGCGGGAATGGAAACTTCTTTGTCGTTCCAATATCCCTTTATACACTGATGTAAAGTAGATGCGATCAAATAATGAGCATGCAACCACTTCCTTCCTACCAGCACATGGTATGCGACATCTGCATCCAACACATGGAAACATGTTTGCTCCTGTATGTTTCCCACCTTCATATTTACTGTAACATAACCCAGGGTGCGAGTCCCTTTGTTATCAAAAGCATTAATGATCATAGGATGTCGCAAACTCCTCTGATCAATTCCAAGAGCTCTAAGTGTTTTCAGCGGCATCAAATTCAATCCAGACCCATCATCAATAAACGTTGTCCGAATATAAACTCCATTGATAGTGCTTTCAACGTAAAGTGGCTTATTGTGATTGGGATCCGGCGTACACATATCTGCCTCCGTAAATACAATAGCCTTTCTATATGTGCTTGCCACCCTTCGCATCCTGGAATCAACCATTCATCCATCACCATGATACTTGTTAGCCACTTGCACCAACGCCTCAGCCGCCTCCTTTCTTGCGTCATCACAAAAACCCAACATATCAAAGAAGTGTCGTACATTTGGAGTTTTCAACAGGGATGATGCTATGGTGGAAGTCATCACAGCAGCTACATGGGTATCATAGGCATCTTCATTCTCGTACTGCTCATCTCGAAGGGAATGGATCACTGCGCAAGCTCCATGAGTAGGTAACAGATTAACTTGTACTGTATCGTTGCTATTAATTACCAGTTCTCCTTTTCGCACTCTGTTCTGAATCAATCTCCGCATGCTCCAACATTCAGCAAAAGGATGACCAACAACGCGATGATAATCACAATATTTAGGATCAATTTTCTCCTGACCAGTGGGCATGCGTGAAACAAAGGGTAAGTTGATTTGTCCATCTCGAATCCATTCTTGAAGGAGAGCACGCACCTTCTCCACCGGCACAGGGAAAGGTGGTGCGTCATCCCCCCTACGGAAATCTGTCTTGGGACGCTTCTGAAATCTATCATTTCTAGGTCTATCGTTATTCCGTTTTTGGAATTGTACAGCATGTACTGGCGGTGTATTCCTCCTTGCATATCGACTTTCCTTCTGCCTTTGAACAGAGGAGTTAGTCCTGCGTGCTGCTTCCACCAAGGCAGCGAAAGTGTAAAGCGGTAGATTCTCCAGATGCACTCGGTATTCATCAAACATTCCCTGCATGCACACTTTTACAAGTTCCCTCTCATTGTATGCATCATGCACGTCTAACACCCTCTCGCGGAAGCGCTGAATATACTCCATCAAATCTTCACCAGATTTCTGATGCTCTCTTCCCAGGTCAATGAGAGTTAATTTTTCCTGAGTAGGAAAGAACTTTTCTCCAAATTGGGTACACATTTGATTCCAAGATTCAATAGATCCAGGTATAAGGTTCACATACCACGTGTATGCCTTGCCAGTGAGTGACTTGGAGAATTCTTTCAACTTCAGATCATCATCCAAACCTGCAACACCCAATGTCTCGACAAACTTCATCACGTGCTCCCTAGCATCTCCCGACTTTCCATCAAACAATTTGAATTTTGGGCTGACATAATCCTTAGGATAGGATTTGGTAGCAATTCTTGCAGCATTTATGAAATTTGAGATCAAATTCCGAGAAATTCAGTGTCTTATTCTTCTGTTCTAAGAGACTTTGAAGCTGATCCTTGGTAACATAAGTGGTATCGGCAGAGGCTGAAGCTATTCCATCCTTCGCACCGGTAGTGTTGTTCAAAGTTGGAATGGTGGTGTCGATGGCGCCGTTATTTGTCTCAGATGCAGCTGGCACTTCCAGCGTTTTGCCATTGTCACCATGCACCCCCTTCGCCAACTGGACAAATCTTTCCTCCATGGCAATCATGCGCTCATTAGCTCTCTCATCGATCGCCTTGGTCTTGTCGTCAAACGCTGCCATGATTTTTGATAGCATGTCTTGCAGGTATGTAGGTACATCAGCTCCGTATCCGCTGCTACTCATGTTGTCTACCGTCGTCCAAACTTGCCGATTGCTCTTTTTGTGATGCTCCTCCCTAGTGGAGTCGCCAAAATGTTGATGAGTTCTTTTGTTGCGGTGCAGGAGACGTCGCAAACAGAGCAAATGGATATGGGGAGGCGACGGAGAGGAAGACCGGAGCAGATCTCAGTGAGAGTGTAGCGGTGGCAGGAGGTATTTAGGCTTTTTTATGGTGGTTTGATGTGAGCAGAGTTTCAGCGTCAATTTTCTTAGGATGCCAAAGTCCTTTTCAATGGTCTTGACTCCACTATTTATAGTGGAGAGGCTTAGAAGCAAAGAGCATGTAATAATTACGAAATCCCGTAATTAAAGGACACGTGATATCAATCAAGAGTTGACTGCAATAATTTACGGTAGGATTGATTTGCGATGTCAATCAAAGATTTTCAGCAAATATGTGCAATTGAGTGATTTACGGCGGGATTGATTTAATATGTCAATCCCATGAATTATGGTAAGAATGAGGTAATCAAGGAGAATATGTCTACAAATGGTTTATCACTCTCACGTGAGAAAAGGTTGGGATTTTATCTCCAACTACCTCCTAGTCTCAGCCTCCAAATCAAACTCTCCGACATATCCCAAAGCTGGAGTTGACATAGAACCCTGCCATATCCGATGTCAACCCCATCGTATCATCAATTACTAATGCGCTGCACGTGACTGCCCAAAAGCAATGTCAACATATTGTAAGTAGTTTCTACCTTAGTATGGGTGTGAATACAAGTTTGATTTGCTTGAAGCTCATTTCTTAAAGAAGTTTTTAACCTGTTACGCAGCTTACACTATTAAACATAAAGCCTGAAAGAATGCACTTTGGAGAAATTTTTCTATATTTAAAGATACTTAAGTTTTACTATCCAAGCAATAACAAAATCCTATACTAGATTATGGAATGGACGAATTATTTAGGGTGATTATACAATACAACGTCAGTGTGAAGTTTAGACTCTATAAGCAAATTAAGGAGTTGACACATACTTCATTCCTAAATTAATTTTGTATTTAAAATTAAAATCTATTCCCTAAAAAGGACACATTTCAATCATTAAACAACGTATGTATAGTATGTTAAACTCTACTATGATATACTACTTTTCCTTGAGGTTATTATGTCAAATCTAAGGCTTAGTTTGGTATTAAGGTTGCAGTTTGAAAAAGCTTGGTTTGGAAAAAGTGTTTTTGAGAAGTGTTTTTTTAAATTGTAGTTGGAAAATATAAATAATGTTTGGTATTGCTGTGAAAAAATGAGGTTGAATGATAAAATGTCTAAAAATGATATGCTACTTAAAAAGGAAAGTAAAAAATAATTAGGAATTTTTGTCATTTAATATCCAAAGGCACTTTTGAAACGCAAAAGTACCTAAGGATTAGCTTCTCAGATTGGCTTGGCTTTTGCGTTCAAAATCAGCTTTTGACACAAATAAGGATTTATTTGGTATTGCGTTTGGATTCAAAAGCAACTTTTTTATCTCCAAATCAGGCCTAAGTCCAGTTCAATATTTGGGCTCAGATTTGGGCCTAAAAGCCGCCCAAAGGCCCATAACCAATGCTTGTTATCATTTAATTAACCATGACGTCGGTCGTGGCCGCATTAACAATGTCGCGCTCGCGTGGCAAACTGCCAACTGTCGCCTCAAATCAAATTTCAAAGTTAAAAATGACATAATTAAAAACGAAAACTAACGGCAACAATTCAATTTCAATTTCAATTTCAAACATAAGAAAGACCAGAAAATTCTTCCCGAATTTGGACTTATCTTATTACCACGATATATCCGCTTCCGGCTACAATCGAATCTTCTCCTTCATCTCTTCTTAAATCTGATCCGAACATCGCAAGATGATGAGCCAGCCCTCGCCTGATCATACCCAAATCCCCGTAACCAATCAGTCAACTATATCCTCGGAGTCAACCCCACCGCCACCGCAACCGCAACCGGCAGTAGCAGCAGCAACCCACTCTTCTGATTACGCTCCTTACCCGAAACTCGACCCCAAGGACGTCACTCCTCCTCCACCGGAGAATTGGTCCAACGTAGCCATGGGTTCCCAAACGCAGCCCAATCCAGGCCCTGCTCCGATCTCTACCAGCGCTGCTACCACCATGCCGGTTGAGTCCAATCCTTACGTTTCTCCCGCTCCCGCTCCATCTTCTACTGTCAAGAGTAAGCTAACTCCCAGCAACTTCAGCTCCTTCAATTCATATACTATAAACTTAGATTAATGTTTTTGCTCTTTTTTTCGGGTTCTCATTTGAGCAGATACGATGGAAACCGTTAAAGATGTGTTAGGGAAATGGGGTAAGAAGGCAGCAGAGGATACTAAGAAGGCGAAAGAGATTGCTGGGAACATGTGGCAACACTGTAATAATTTCCTCTTAATGATTACCCTTTTTCCCCCTGCTTTATATTGCTTACTATAATATTGTTACATTACATTTGACTATGAATACTTTAAATTTTGATTTTTATATTGTTTTTTGGGTATTTTGGTTTCATTGTATGAATTGGAATATTGAATGGATAAATTTTAAGTAAAAGTATGGTTAGTAACTTTGTTTACTTTGCGTTTTCTTTTGTGTTGTAATAGTGAAAACTGGGCCAAGTTTTGCTGATGCTGCTGTAGGAAGAATTGCACAGGGTACTAAAGTTCTTGCAGAAGGTGGTTATGAGAAGATCTTTCGAGGAACATTTGACACTGTTCCTGAGGAAAAGCTTCTGAAAACATATGCGTGCTACCTGTCCACCTCGGCTGGTCCTGTTATGGGAGTGATGTATCTATCAACTGCAAAGCTCGCTTTTTGTAGTGACAATCCACTGTCTTACCAAGTTGGTGATCAGACTCAGTGGAGCTATTATAAGGTATACTTTTCCTTATACTGAGGTCATTTTTTGTGCTTTCAAGTAGTTGCATCTGCAGCTGAGGCCTTAGAGCCGAGTAGAGCATGGACTGATGCTTGACAGTTATGTTTTCAATGATGTTAATATCGTTTCTTGATGCTATGATAGAAAAGTTATTAGATTATCCATTCATTGGCTCTTCTTCGCCAGTTCCTCATATATCAGTTAAAGACAGGAATTTTGAAACTGTCACCTCTTTCCTGATTTACTTGTTTCAAAGAACATTGTATGCTCAAATACTTGATGGTTTCCTATGATTAGTGGGGAGCACTTTAAGCAGCTGTAGTGGATGCTATGCATAATTGAACACATTAGAAATGAGGTGTTGGGGATGAAATTCGTTGGCCATTGGGATCTTGTGTAAAGGTAGAATTTTAGTTGGAGATGGATATGTACATCTGGGCATATGTATCATGGCATCCTCACTTTGCTAAATTAGTTGCTTATAAGATTCTAAAGAACCCAGTCAAACGACATTATGTAGTTGACCTAAGGCAATTCGAATGAGATCTAAAATGACGTCCCCCACCCCATGTTATAAATGAGGTGTTGGGGATGAAATTCGTTGGCCGTTGGGATCTTGTGTAAAGGTAGAATTTTAGTTGGAGATGGATATGTACATCTGGCCATGAATTATGGCATCCTCACTTTTGCTAAATTAGTTGCTTATATGTTTCTAAAGAACCCAGTCAAAAGCCATTGTGTAACAGTTGACCTAAGGCAATTCGAATGAGATCTAAAATGATGTCCCCCACCCCATGTTAGTAGGAAAATTGTTGATTGGTTGTGTCCTGGTCAACATGCTTTAGAAAGTTACCAATTAAAAATATAGGATCTACTGTTTACCTTGCTTGATACATCTCAGCAGGAACTTATGCGTTCGTGATTGTTTTCAAAAATCTGCCACTCATCTTATTAAAGAGACCAGTGCTTGTTTTTGTTGGCAGTACACTTGTCCATCATCATTTTATCTTTATTTAAACTTTGTACTCATAATTATTAATTTGATCTGGTGTCCTCTCCCCACTTATACTTGTAGGTGGTTCTACCATTACATCAGCTCAGGGCGGTGAATCAATCAGCTAGCAAAGCCAACCCAGCTGAGAAATACATCCAGGTTATATCAGTTGACAACCATGAGTTTTGGTTCATGGGTTTTGTACACTATGATAGTGCTGTTAAAAACCTTCAAGGAGCATTGCAGAACCGTAGCTGATGATGTGATCCCGATCAAACTCTATATAGTCTACACCATGTTCCAAAAATGTGTTATGTAGATAAGAATATCTTGAGCCAGATATGTATCAGTTGATATAGCATAGGGATATTTTATACTGCATTTATTTGTACTCATTGTGATATTCCTTTGTTTCTTAAACTCAATAGTAATTTGTTGGTGGATATTCTGTGATCACCATTTAAATGGTTTTACCTTGAACATGTGATTATTCATACTAGTATTCTTTTATAAAGTGAGGAGGGTGGATACTGGCAAAGGTTATTGTGAGATATAGTTGCAATCAAGTTCTCCTCCTCTTTGATTTTAATTTTTATTGTCTTCTCTTTGATGCAACTTATGATAGTAATAATACTTTGATGATTGCTTTTCGGATGCGTGCCTCGGTTTACCCTTGCTGTCATGAATTATTTTTTTTTAAAACCATAGGTATTCATATCCGTTTTAACAGTCTACAACTATATAAATGTTGTTTGAGTCGAGTTGGTCCACTATTCTTTTAAAACTTGTTAGGAGTCGGATTTTGTAGTTTCTAATCTAATCAGTAATCACATAAGCATGAGCACTAATCAAACTCGCTCTTCTCCTTTTAAACTAAGTTATGGGTCTTTCTTTTCAATGCTCTTGCTCTTGTCTGATGAGGTTTTGGATCTATCACCCAAATCATTTTTTATTTTCGGGTTTTACTTTTTAGTCCTCGTTTACCGTTGGAAAGCAACAGCACCGAATCAATGGGGGTATCCAATCCATAGAACTTGAAAGACAAATAGACAAAAACAAGAACCATGATCAGATTCTGGAGCTGGTCTGAAACCAATTTCTCA